GACGGTGCCCTTGGTACCCCTTGGGCGCCGCCGGCCAGTGTTTGCCCTGCCCAGTGGCGGCTGTCAAAACACATGCCTTGCACCCCCCCCCCCCCCCCATTCTGAAAACTGGGGGGGGGGGGGGGCAAGCGCCCCCCTTGCCCCCCCGGTTAGTACGCCCATGCCTGCATATAGCTTCGGTCGGCACACAAGCTGCACAAACATATGCACGCGCGTACACTTCGACTGTTCTTCCGCCGAGCTACAAGATTGACCCGAAATAAGAACGAAAATACAGTGAGTGTGCAGGCGATTCGATGGATGTTGATCGTGCTAAAAATTACCCGAGACTGTGGTAAAAGATGAGAAGCTGGTTGAAGAAAAAGGACCTACGAAAAGTCGTTCCTTTTCCTGCGTCCCTTTTTCTTCTGCTAAGTTTCCCACTTTTTACCACAGTCTCGGGTAATTTTTAACATGATATGAAATAATATTTACATTAGGTTGCGACATGAGATCTGCAGTAATCCGTCCCTCAACTCCAAAGGAAAAAAAGTGCTTAAGTAGAAATGGAAAAGGATACCGGCCTCCTTGTAATATGAGCTCTCAAAAACGTTGCAACCAATCTTTTTTTTTTTTTTTCAAGAGGTTTTTTTTTGCGAGCTTTTTGGCTAATACACATAAATAAATTAGATTAATGCTACGGTCTAGAGTATTAAGCAAGCAGTGCGCTTAAGCAAACATGCGTATTTACTGCGAATAATTCGCGTTAACACGTTCATGTAGCCGCAGACGACGCCGCGTTCAAGGAAACCGCCAGACGCAGGCGACGAGTAGAGGGGTGTCGCGCCGTTAGGCCCTTATCGCCTCAGCCCTCTCTTCACTCGTCTCGGATCGTCGGCACAACAGAAGCTGCTAATGACGCCGAACCAACGCCCATCTATGCGCCAAGCTTTATTCGAAACAAAAGCAAAGTTATCTTCGTCGCACGCACATAACGTAAACCGGACACCGGCGCAACTAAAGCCCACATTCCGCTCCGAGATAAGTCCGGGGATGCGAGGAACGGGAGACTCAGCGTCTTCTCATCCTTTTTTTTATTTTTGTATTACCGTTTTTTTTTTTTTTTTCTTCTCTACTGGTCCCCATTTTCTTCCTCCTTTTTCCTTATTCCATTTTCTTTTACCTCGGTATATTTTTCTTTCAGTTTCTTAAACGTTTGCGGACGGGGATGGAAGAGGCGCGCTGGGGTCCGGACGAAATCGAAAACCAAGATCCTATCTTCCGCGACCTCGACTTTTTTGCGCGGAGGCTGCGCCAATGTTCGTTGGCGTGTGTCCCAGGGTCGGGTAACGCGGCAGCGGCCTTATTGGCGACCAGGAAGAAAAGAAGAATGGATGACGGCGTGTTGGTTGTGTTCGACTTCGCTTCGTCTTTCGATCCCCCCACGGCGTCTCCTTCGGGAAGAAAAACGGGAAATCGGGCAGCCGTTTCAACCGTGGCGGCGCCGCCGCGCTGCGGCCAAAGTTACTGTCGATGCATATTAGCATAGCCTTCTCTTTACTCACAAAGCCTGGCAGTTCCATGACGGAGCCATAGAACACTGTAGCCATAGAGTGCCCGGTCGCAGATTCGGAGCGCGAGGATCTGGTAGCACAGAGCACATCTCGGGGAGTCTGGTATTCAGCGCACAGCTTTTACAGCGGCGAGGACCAGAAACATGGTCTTCAAACCTGACGAGAAAAGAAGCGGTAGCCCGAGTAGCCCGAGCCTATCCCGAGAAGCACGAGCAGACATTCTATCGCTAGTGACAAGTGTGTTTCGGCGTCTCGCCGCAGCGGGACGCCCGAAGCATGACTTGTCTGCCGCTCTACCTTTTCCCTTTAGGCGGCCGCGTCTCGTGGCGATCTGCCAGGCTTTTCGGGGAATTTAACAAGAAACCCAATATTGCACGAAAAGCGATTAACAAAACTCGAGGATATTGAGATGCCAAAATATAGGGAAGTAAGACGGGCGTTCAAAAAGCTTTGCCTCGAGGACTGTTTGGTCGAAGCCGGTTAACTTTAATCGCGGTAAAAAGGTAACTGCATTTCCCTACTGGGCACGTACAAGTACCTAGCCAAGTTTGACGGGTGCTGGTTGCACGATATCTCTTTGTTCTATTAAAGGGTAGTAGCTCGTATCACCTAACGGTTGTAGCGAATATTAGTGGCTTTCTTTGACAACTTTCTCAAAAAGAGTGACCCAAGTACGCGCGCTGACGGGTTTTCGCGACGCAGCGCGGCATATAAGTGAGTTGAAGAAAATTATTTCGTTGCTTGTGGTATAAAAAATAAGTAATGTAAAACCCAATCAACCCGCGTTCGGAAAATTATTCAGTGGTTGGCTGTCTGGGGTCAAGACAAGCCTCGTTAAAATTTACTTTCCAGTGCGAAAGAGGACGACGACAAATTAGGAAAACTCACGGCTTTTATAATTTGTAATTGTTCAGCTGACCATATTCAAGTATGTACCAGCTAGCTCAAGTAAAACCTGTAGTAAAGAAAGGCAGGCGGGACACCGACGGCATGGTTGGCCAGGACATAAGAACAGTACATAAAGCCTTCATAAAATTCAAAATCGCGTACTTCGGCTCCAGTGGAATTCGGTACGCCAGGAATGGACAGAATCGAAAGACGATCTAAAAAAATAAGGGGATATACATGTTCATGCTTCGCGCTTTAGTGAGGTAAGGGCAAGCGAAAGCCTTCTGCACCATTCATTGCTGACAAACGTGTCCGGTACTGCAGCGGGTACGACATAATAGGAAGTTTTCGCAGATCGTTTTGGCCTTTCCGCGCTACCCGCTACGAGACGCGCTAACAGAGGCATAGAGTGCTTTCGCAGACCGTTCTCTGCGGGCTACGGTGCTGCGATTATGACAGCGTCACTAGCGGTCTTAAAAAGCACTATATAAAACATTAAACGCATACTATTAATGCAACCACGTATTTGTTTTATCAGAGTGCATAACACATGGTTAATTTATGATTATGAATGTTAATCTTTTTTTCTGGAAAAGTTGTTTGTAGCACATCGTGCCAGCTTGCGGTAAGCGCGCTTTGCTTAAAGTCAGATTCAGTTCGGCCATGCCAATCGTCTCTTTGTCATCTCGCGCTCTTTTATGTTCGTGGACATGTTCTCCGCCAACTCCCGAAGATGAAGCGGCTCAGCGTTCTTGAAGACCAACTTTTATTGTCCAGTTTAAGTTGGAAGGAAATAGAGGATGTGTATTGGAACCGCCCCAAAGCGGTGTTATGTTATTTCTCTGATGTGCGCCACTGGTATGGTGTAGTTTTGGAATTTGTATTCTATAAACGGGAAAACACTATTGTTCTTTTTTTTTTTTTTAGGCGCTACCGACTGTTGATCAGCAAAGAATTTTGTCTTTAGTCTTTAGTCTTTATTTATTTGGCTCTGGAGAGCCGCGGCACCGCGGAGAGGCACCAGCTCGTATACCATGGAGGCCCGCGATGCCGCGACTAGTGAACATGATAATGTCATGAGTATATACATGCATAATGACGACGACATGAATTGTTGGTATTGGGGAGGATGGCAGTCCGATTCGCAGAAGTCCAGATTTCGTGGAGGCGGGTTGGGCGGGCGAAAAGCGAGCTGGAGACCTATGTTGCGCTTTTTGGACTCTCACGGCGACTATGTAGAAGGAAGTGACGTCCACAACGCAGCAAACGCAGATGCGTTTTCTGCCGCGGTTAAAGGTAAGCAGCTTCGAGCAAACGGGACCTGGGCTGTACCTTTTTGATCCAGTGATGGAATCGGAAGATGTTACATTCAAATAAAAGGTTAGAATCTCTTCCTTTCTAGGAGCACATCACCTGCGACGATCTACCTACGCAACCGGTGCATAGTCTCTGCATACTATTACCGTTATCGAAGAATGAGGGAAATTAGACGGATAATGCGACGAACTTACCGCGGGTCACATTTATGACCGTATATTTAACTTAACAATGTGCCACTCTAAAACGAGCACAGCCCGAAGAATTAACCTTCACGATCCAGTTAATTACTTGAAACGCCCGCATCTCTGTGCTACTATGTAGGGAAAATGAGAAAAGGAAAACAACTTAGCTTTTTCTCCCAAATCGGAACACATTAGGGGATAGAATAAATTGCAGAATAAATTTTAAAATGATTATCTTTTCGGGTCGAAATTCCGGAAACACTACACTCTAGACGTGTGCGGAAGGTGTGTAGTTTTCGACTGGTTGAAGGAGCTTGGCTGAATTTCTTCACTCGAACAGAAACAGCGTCGACCACTGTCGCTCCATTCAACTTGAGTCAGACGGGGGCACCTTTTGTGTGTAGAAAAGCCTATCTATTTATTAAGGAGTTGCCCCGCGCATCGGGGACAACGCCACACTAAGATTATGGCAGTAATATTTTGTTTATATATTCTTGTTCGACTATAACTGGCAGTCTTTCTTAGTGATGGCTGTAAAACTACAATTTCCCTAACCTATGGTGCGTCGCCCATATATCCATATATTGGACTTGACAAAGAGAGCGTACAATTTATGATGCCTGTTTAGGCGATGTAGATATTCTAATAAATAAATAAATACTGCATTCGCAGCACACTTGGTCGCAGCGCTTTCTAAAAACCACCACCGTCCCCGTCGACTCCTGCATAAAAAGTCAACACCTGATTAATTAAATATAACCAGAAAGCACTAATCCGAAACCCGTAACTACTGCCAAGACGGATTTAAACTTGACGAACGTGTTAATAGGCTAGCCAAAAAGTCAGGGGATTCGAACACAGAAAACCTCCAAAACGCCTGCGTAAAACACCCCGGAAAAAAGAAAAGAAATAAAAAAAGGACTTCCGGTGGCGCTGCCATTCTGCCTTGGGGGTTCCGTCAGTTCCGTCGACCGACCGCTCGCCCGAGCTCTGAGCCCCGCCCCTCGCCCTTCGTAAGAGGGAGAGGAGGTCTATAAAAGAAGAGGGCGAGGAGGAGGAAGCGAAGGGCAGGCCGACGCGCAGAAAGACTGCCGTCGCTCCGAAGAACGGATGCCGCGGTCCGAACCCTGCGCGCGGATTAAGAGAGACGCAGAGGCCTTGGCGAAGGGAACGCGGGAACGCCGAGGCATTTGGCTGGTCGTCGCCGCAATGAGGAGCGAGGAATACCCGGCTTACGGTTGCTGCTGCTGCTGCTGCAGCCGGGCTCCATGAGAGAAAGCGTCTCTGCGGTACGTAGACTCTCCCTGGCGTCTGTCTCGGGAGAATCCTGCCTGCCGCTCGCTTGTGTGCCGTTTGCGTGGTGCTGTTGTTGTCGGGCCATTCGGTTCGAGGCTAACCCGCTTTCCGACGTCGTTTGTTCAGGCTGAGAGAGGCTGCTGAAAGGATCTGTTCGGTGGGGCCCGCTCTGCGGCACGGGGCCGCTGCGAATGCGTTTGTTTGGTGATGATACCGCGTTAATGAATGCGGTTGCAACTTTATGGATGGTTTTATGAAATGAGGTGGGGCACCTTTTTGGTAACAAAAAGAAAAATGCTGGAAAGCTGCATCGTAATGAAATTAGGCGGCACTACTTCTTTAGCAGTGTTGAATAAGAGAATATTCTACGTCTATGTGTTTTTTTTTTCTGTTTTTTTTTTTTCATTTTTAATGTAGCGGCAGAATTTGAGCCGTTGAAACTCGCACAATCCGTTTGTGTTGATTTAGCCTAGATTGAGTTTATGTACGACATTAAGTCAATAAATGACACACTGATGCTCCGTGTATATTTGACTATAGCATCGCATATCACAACGTTGATAATGTCTTTATCTTTCCTATTTTTTTTTTGCATAGGATTTAAATATTTCTTAATTAGCATTGCCAATTTTGACAATTTTTAAAAGGTGCCTGCTCGTTCTGTCACGTGCTATACGTTTACCTCTGCGTAGCAGTTGTTTTGTTAGTTAGGATTTCGTAAAGAGCAACCCTATAGGTGACGGGCTTCCTTAACTTGGACCCCAAGCTACGGTAGGCTTCCTGTACAGTATATTTCTGCGGGGAACTACTTCACTTCCTTCGTAGCAGACGTTTGCTGTTTCAGTTTTATAATTTTACTATAACGCATTATGTATTAGGTACACGTGTATGTATTAGGTACACGATAACGCATTATGTATTAAGTACCTGGCAAGTACCATGAACGCTGATGTAAAACACATGTAATGTAAAGAAAGCATAGGACACCTAAGCCTTATGGAGTTAAACAACAGCATGTATAGATAGATATACATGTGTGTTCTGACCAATCAGGAGTCGTAAGCGCGACGTTACTTATACCAGAACGCATGTAACTACTCATATAACCCATACCTCAAATTAAAGCGCGAAGTTTTGTTAAGGGGCTAAGTTTGTTTCGATTAGGTGGTTCATAATTTCCTCAAGTTGACCGAAAGTGAAATACGATTGTTATAGGTTTTCACACGCCTTGAGAAGCTCGTGAATATATTAATTCTGCAGAACGAACCACGATTTTTTTTTTATTCTTATTGCATAATTGCACATAACCCGTCACCTGGTTAGCACTCCGGAGAACGTCATCGAGGAAACCCGTTTTTCGCACATATTATTTCCTTTTTCTGACAACAGCGAATCCAGGCATCTTAACTGCACATGCGTAATAAACTGATGGGATAGATTCGTTCATTAAGTGGCGAATTACTCGGATGAGTTCTCTCTGGCGTTATCCGCGATTAAGAACGGCGCCGCGCAACACCGAGAAGGGGTGGACTTATATTGTGCCGCGGAAACGTCAGCGCCGGTTGTCGACCAATGAGAGAGCAGAGTGTGCAAATCTCCGTGTCGCATACGATGCACGTTTAAAAGGTATCCGAAGGTTAACGAAGACGAAGACACTCCATAGACGGTGAGTCTCAATCAAGACATGTACGGGCGGTGCTGAGTGCTTCCTCATTCAATGTTGCGATGTTTAGTGGATGACTCCTACTCACGGCCATTCATTGGCACCAACCGTAAAGAAATGTTCTCACAGGGCTACAAACATCAATGTTTGACCGCCGAAAAAAACAAAAACAATTTGTAGGCGACGCGGACAACCTTCCACCAGTACCATTTATTCACAAACAGGTAATTGTTCACAAACATAGTTAGGTGAACAGGAAAAAGTCTAGTTTGAAACTTTGTAACAAAAAAAAAAGAGCACTTCCGGTGCCCTAATGAAGTCTATTCATTAACCCGTCCCCTACACCCAGTTTACCGAAATAACATAAAAAATCGCAAATCGCAAAAAAAAAAAAGAAGAAAATTCGTACACTCAATTTGTCAGGACGTCCCGCTCTATCATATAAACTAATCGCGGATTTATTTAGCAGATTTCACTGCGAAGTAGAGTTGTCACGTCGAAATTCACCAAGTTCTGTTTTTGTTCTTTCTTGCATGCCCGACGCATGCTGTGTCGGCGACGCAGAGCAGGATAGCGGCCACTAATCCGCCGGTGTAGCTTCTCCGCAATCCACCGGTGCGTGGTGAGAAGCGCACTCAACGGAGCTAATTGACTCGCTTGAGCAGACCTCGAGCAATAAGATATATCGCTGAAATAGGGGTAATGGCGCAGGCTACCTGGTGGATGATCATGCTTATAACAAGGCATGCAGTTGGGCTAGCTTATACTTATAAGCCCAAAGACAGTGAAACAAAACGAAGAGAAAGAAAAAAGGGGACAACACAACGACGTCTCAGCAGCTGAGTTTCGAGACGAAACGTTCTTTATTTGCTTCTTAAAACGCAGTTCAAATGTAAATTCCGCATAATTTAACACTGGGTTGTGTGTGACGCGACAGATGCCTTTGCATTTTCTTTTACAGCATTATGAAACTTGCACTAGAGCGCGCCACTGCCAAAAAAATGGAGATTATATCTCCAGAAAAATATAGTTTCAGTCTAATTCATTAAACAGCATTGATGTATAAGATAGGTTAGATTTTGGCATCAATTTTGTCACGTCGTTAACTACAATTAAACTTATCAAAGCGAACCAATTATCTAGGGGTGTTGCCTACTCAGTTCAAATATCCACGTTTTTGACAGTTTTTTTTTTTTTTTTTGGCAGATTTTATTTTGAGTGACTCTTCACGTAATTCATTAAACATCTTGGGTACATAATAGCCTCTTGTGGCCTCTCCATATTTAGTATAAATAAAAAAATTCAATGAACTATGTATTCGCTGTTAACGTTCTTCCTTTGGCATTTTTCACTTTATGTGTGTTGTTGAAAAAATGCTTTATAGTAATATCACACTTCACATGGCCTCTAAAACGCAACACTCCTAGTCCTCTTTGCATATAGTTTCGCAGATCAGTTTCTTCACATAAGTAACCCATATTTCTGACTATCATTTTTTTTTATCAAACCTATTTTTAGTTGTATATGCGGCACAGCGTCCGAAGACGGGCTTAAATTGCGTTAGCATTAGTAAATACATGGCAGCGAAAAGCAGACGGCGTCCGTCTGTGGACAAAACAGTGAAAAGGGAAGCGCACCGCGTAGAGGAGGAGAGTAGTGAAGGACAAAGGCGAGAAGAAGACTACGTCAAAAGGCGGAAGCCGATGCGCGCGCGATGCGGCGAGGCGAGAGGGAGGTGACGTCACGGGGCGGAAGCCAATGCGCGCGCGGGAAACGTGTGAAGAGCGAAAGGAGCGCCAGGCAGCGGAGGCCGCTGCTAGGCGTGCAAGGCGGTGGCCGAAATGCGGCGCAAGAAGCGGCAAGCCGACGCGGGTCTTCGCGCGACAGAGGTTGGGGCGAAGTGGGCTCGGCGCGCCCGCTTCGCCGGAAAAGTATAAAGGAAGATCCACCGGTGGATCCTTAGGGACCGCGTTAGCATGATCCTTAGGAAACGCCATATGTGTACCCCTTTGGGAATCGCTAACACTGAGGAGTCATGCTAACGGATTTCCTAAGGATCCATCAATGGATCTTTCTTTAAGTTTTTCATATTGAAGTGTGGACCATTGATCTCTCGTGTAGTAGGCTGGATCCCGGATCGAGTTTTGTCTTGCTGAGCTCGAGTGGCACCGCCGGCAGACATCGTTTGACACAATCTAATGCATGGGACTCTATGGGAAAAACTAGAAAAAGTGCCGTTTCCCTTGTTTGTAAGTTGGTGTCGGCGCTGAAATTTTTGGCTGCTTTTCGGGAAGCCTGTCAATTAGCTTGCTTGACAAAAGCTAATGCATGGAACTCTATGGGAAAACAACGAGAAAAAGTGCCGTTTCCCCCGGTTTTATTTTTAAGCCTGTCAAATAGCCTCGCGCACAAACATTAAAACCGACAGCCCTCACAGTTCTGATAAATAGATATTTTGTGGTCAAGAGTGACTCCGCTGGGCGAAAAATGTAGCGCAGCTCAATGAGACAAGAGTTAGCTAGAGTTAAAGCGGAGTAGGTGGTGGTTTCGATGAGTAGAATTTAGCAGACGACAAACTTGAAAGCTTTGCTACGCGGAATTCGCTCACTCCCGGAAAGCCGCTGTCAAAATGGTACTTTTTCGACATTCATCAACTTATGGACTTCCCCGAGGGAGGTAATTGACGACACGTCCTTTTGTTTACTCCACTACAAGAGCAAGCTTGCCAGCTTAACAGTGGGTGCTCTGGCACGTTTGAATTTTTAATAGGCGTTCAAAAGCTCCAAGCATATAGCACAGGGGTGGCCAAGCTGCGGCTCGCGAGCCGCATGCGGCTCTTCGCGTGTTAAAGTGCGGCTCGCGGCTCCCTTCCCCCCTCCCCCCCCCCCCCTTCACACACACACACACACACACCTACCCGCCACCCTCCCGGTCACACAGAGAAATGGAACACGTTTTAAATTGAAAGACAGGTTGCGGTTTGGTAGTCTTGTGCGACTACTACCTTACCTACAGTTGAACTGCTTTTGATTTGGTTATTTTGAAAGGAGTTCAACGTTCGTTTGTTGCTCTGGACAAAAGTTTGCGCCCCCCTCCCTCCTCCTCCGCGGCTCTTTGAAGTTTCGTGGGTTTGTTTGCGGCTCTTAGGCCGGGTCAGCCTGGCCACCCCTGATATAGCATATCGATTCGATCTCCAAACACCCGACATAATGATCGCAGCACATCATAGAATACCCGCCTTCGAGCACCACGTACAAGCTTCAATATTCCTACTTTTGTGTGTTTCTCCATAGTTTTCCGTGTATTGTCTGGTGTCAAGCAATGGCCGCC